AGCAATACCACCTATCAGGTGGTATTATTTTTTCGGTACAAGTAAAAGGACGGAATAAGATAATAAAATGACACAAATGCCCTCCTATATGAAGAGTTCACATATAAAAAATTTATTTTGAATTTTTCTTTGTATTATATTTAAGCGTACAATGTCACCAGTTTTTTTAAAAAAAATTATTTTGAAGCGTACGGTGTCAACAATTTTTTTTAATAAATTATTTTAAATTTTTTCCTTGTATTATATTTAAGCGTACGATGTAACCGATTTTTCTTTTTTAATTTTTTTTAAAAAAATTATTTAAAATTTTTTCTTTGTATTATGTTTAAGTGTACGATATTACCTTTTTTCTTTAAAAAAATTATTTTGAATTTTTTTCTTGTATTGTGTTTAAGCGTAAGGTATTAGCGGTTTTTTTTTTTTTTTAAATTATTTTAAATTTTTTCCTTATATTATGTTTAAGCGTACGGTGTTGCCGATTTTTTTTTTAAAATTATTTTAAATTTTTCCTTGTATAGATGGTTAAGGGTCAAATATAATGGAAGATGTTAAGGGTAAAATGGTATATTTGTTATATAAGATATGATAGAATAGATGGTTGTTTGTGGGACTAAATATAATACCTATTGAACAAACAAACAAGGGGAAGGATGAGATACAAGTTTAAGACCGGGTATAGTATACCATTGGATAGGAGTGGAATGTAAATGATTTCTAATACCACCCAAATTTAATACTGAAAACAAACATGCCCTAAGACTAGTAAATTTGGAAACTCTGACTTGAAGATTTTGCTTTGTCTTCGCTAGTGCTATTTTTTATTAGTGCTTCATTGTCACTACATTTTTTTTTTCAAAAATTGATGGCCAGTTGCTAGAAATTTCATTGCTTTCATGAGAAAGGGTAAATTTGTTATTATTATCATGAATAGAACCGTTGTTTTGATGTTATTACATTCTCAACCAAGTAATTGAGTTAATCAATTCTTTTATTTGAACCATTTTTTTCGTCTAATGTGTTGAGGTCAATTGGATAGTTTGTTGCAGCGTTGAATTTGTTCATTGTGTAGGAACACAAGTATGGATAGGAGTTGGATGCAGCAAAAGAATAGATTGCACCATATTTTCCAATTGGGAGTGAAAGAATTCCTCCAGTTTGCATATGCTCGTAAAGAANTTAAGAGAAATTTTGCTTGCGTGCAGCACTGCTATGGACTATCAATGATATTCCCGCTTATGCTAACTTGTACGGATGGAGCACCAAAGGGTATATGGCATGTCCAGTTTGCATGAGTGAGACTTCCTCCAAATATTTGCCAAATGGAAAGAAGTGTTGTTACGTGGGACATCGTCGTTTCTTACCAACTAATCATAGATGGCGAAAGGAGACTAAAGCATTTGATGGTGAGAAAGACTTTAGGGAGCCAATTGAACCATTATCTGGGGATGACATATTGAAATATTTGGATGCTATTGATCAGGTTGTTTTCGGTAAGGCCCCTGAACTAATTCGAGAGAAGAAGAGGAAACGTCGAAAAAGTGAATTGAATTGGACAAAGAAGAGCATTTTCTTCAAATTGCCATATAGGGAAACCCTGAAACTATGACATAACTTGGATATCATGCACATAGAGAAAAATGTATGTGATAATGTGCTTGGCACATTAATGAATATTGATGGAAAGACTAAGGACAATTGGAAGGCTCGTAAGGATTTGATGGCAATGGGCCTAAGACCAGAATTACACCTTCGTTTTGAAGGAGATAAAGTTCTTATGNAGGATTATAAGGATTTGGATAAGTGTCCAAAATGTGGGAGCTCTAGATGGAAGTTTGAAGGATCTAAGAAGATACCTCAAAAGGTATTGCGTTACTTCCCATTATAGCCAAGACTGCAGAGATTGTTTATAAATAAGAACATTGCTTGTGATATGAGGTGGCATAAAGACAAACGTATCAATGAGGATAATGTATTAAGACATCCTGCTGATTCCGATGCATGGAAAAATTTTGATAAAAAGCATGAGTTGTTTGCCCATGATCCTCGCAATGTTAGGCTTGGACTAGCAAGTGATGGTTTCAATCCTTTTGGCAACATGAGTAATGCTTACAGCATATGGCCAGTATTTCTTGTACCATACAATTTGCCTCATTGGAAATGTATGAAGGATCCTTTTCTCATGATGTCCATGATTATTCCAGGACCAAATTCTCCAGGAAATGACATTGACATATTTCTGCAACCATTAATTGATGAGTTAACTGAATTATGGGAAGATGGCTTTGAAACATATGATGGTTACACTTAAGAGAAATTTTGCTTGCGTGCAGCACTGCTATGGACTATCAATGATATTCCCGCTTATGCTAACTTGTACGGATGGAGCACCAAAGGGTATATGGCATGTCCAGTTTGCATGAGTGAGACTTCCTCCAAATATTTGCCAAATGGAAAGAAGTGTTGTTACGTGGGACATCGTCGTTTCTTACCAACTAATCATAGATGGCGAAAGGAGACTAAAGCATTTGATGGTGAGAAAGACTTTAGGGAGCCAATTGAACCATTATCTGGGGATGACATATTGAAATATTTGGATGCTATTGATCAGGTTGTTTTCGGTAAGGCCCCTGAACTAATTCGAGAGAAGAAGAGGAAACGTCGAAAAAGTGAATTGAATTGGACAAAGAAGAGCATTTTCTTCAAATTGCCATATAGGGAAACCCTGAAACTATGACATAACTTGGATATCATGCACATAGAGAAAAATGTATGTGATAATGTGCTTGGCACATTAATGAATATTGATGGAAAGACTAAGGACAATTGGAAGGCTCGTAAGGATTTGATGGCAATGGGCCTAAGATCAGAATTACACCTTCGTTTTGAAGGAGATAAAGTTCTTATGCCGTCTGCATGTTACCAGTTGTCCCATGATGAGAAGAGAAAAATATGTGAATTCTTGACTTCAATTAAGTTTCCAGATAATTTTGCCGCAAACATTTCTCGATGTGTGAAAATAAAAGAGTGTCGTATTTCAGGATTGAAGAGTCACGACTGTCACATTTTCCTTCAACGGATACTCTCAGTGGCAATACGTGGATCCTTGGGTAAGGAAGTGTGTTAGTCATTAGTTGAGCTCGGTGGTTTTTTCAAACAGTTATGTTCTAGGATGTTGTACTTGGATGTGTTGGAGAAACTTGAAAGGCAAATTGCTTTGACACTATGCAAACTTGAACGTTTATTTCGCCAGCGTTCTTTGACATAATGGTACACTTAATGGTTCACCTTGCTAAAGAAGCCAAGCTTGCTGGACCAGTCCAATACCGATGGATGTTTCCATTTGAAAGGTATTTAATAATTTATTTATCAGGTGATTACCTAAGCATCAATCATGTTTTTCTTTTTCAATTGTAGCTTAATTCTTTTGTTATATATATTGATAGGCAAATAAGGAAACTAAAGGGATATGTACTTAATAAGGCTCGGCCAGAAGGGTCAATTGCTAAGCGTTACATTGACAATGAATGCTTGAATTTTTGCTCTATGTACTTGGGTAATATTGAGACGAGATTCAATCGAGTTGAACGGAACTATGATGGAGGTGTAAAGTCGAGTGAGTTGTCTGTATTTGCATATAATGGTCATGCATTTGGTGGGACCATATATGCCGAGTTGAATAATATTGAGTGGGAAAAAGCTTGGAATTACGTGTTGAATAATTGTGAAGAGGTTCAAGATTTTATAGTGTAAGTTTAATTTTCTAATTACTTGTACTTAAAATTTTATTGTTTGTTCATTAGATTTGTGCCTTGGTATTAGATATTTGTGGGTTATAATGATATATACTTAATGTATAGTGAGCATAAAGAAATTCTAAAAGCTGAGGAATGTTAATCAAAGGCATGACTCGCAGTTTCCTAAATGGTTCGAACAACGTGTAAGTGCACTTTGAAATATACCTATTTTTGTTGCTATTATCAAAACAATGTGTATTTGATTATTTGGCTACGGTTCTATGGACAATTTTCACTTTTATGTATAGGTTAAAAAATTGTACCATGAAGGGCGTGCTAGCAAAGAACTCTTGTGCCTTGCCAAGGGTCCTGATAATCGAGTGAAACGCTACACTGGTTGTAATGCAAATGGGTTTAGGTTCCACACTCAAGATCGTGAGAGGAAAAAAAAAACTCAAAATAGTGGTGTGGTCGTGGAAGGAGAACATGATGGGAGCGTGATAAACTTCTATGGCGTGATCATTGAAGTTATTGAGTTAGAATATCTACTTGGGCAGAATCGAGTTATGTTATTTAAGTGTGATTGGTGGGATGTAAAGGACAGTACAGGTATCCAAATAGACAAGGATTGGAATATTACTAGTGTACATGTATCACGAACTTGGTATAAGGACCAACCATTTGTGCTTGCCTCTCAAGCAAAACAAGTTTTTTATATTGAAGATTTGAAGTTAGGGAAAAATTGGCGCGTTGTAGAGAGAATTCAACCTCGCGGGTCTTTTGATGTTCCTGAACAGTTTGAAGAACAATTGATTTCTGGTGAGGAGCCTTACCAAGAACATGTGCCTGATGAGGTTTTTGAATCAATGGAAATTGATGAAATGCCATCATTAGAAAGAGATGATATGATCCCATTAGGATGTACTGATGTAGATAATATATTTCATGAACAACCAATGGAAAATGTAGATGAAGAAGATAACAACTTCATTAATGACAGTGATATCGAGGAAGATTATTGTAGTGNAAAGTGATATCGAGGAAGATTATTGGAGTGATGATATTCACAAAGATGATACATTTAGTAATGACGAATGTGAATCTGACTAAAGGTAAGGTTTCAGTGTAATTCACCTTATACTAGGGAAAGTTTATAATGTTGCAATACTTTTAGTTCTTATATACACACATAGATGTGCATAACCATTTGTATTTACGCAATTGATATTCATTTGTTGTATTATTTTGTTACTTCATTGCACACAGATGGCCGGATTGGGGAAACAAGGAGCTGCTAGGCGTGGTGGAGGACAACTATCAGTACTGCTTCCGGTTTCATTACCATATGATAAACAGACACAGATTGGTGCTAATGGTGGTACATTGCCACTTGCACGAGAGTCTCATGGTTCCACGAGTGTAAATAATGCTCCTTTGCCAGAGGGACATGTCGAACATAATGTTGGTATGTTTGTTTAATGGAATTATGTTAAACATTGTTCAAACTATTGACTTATAGAAGCTGCATTTTAAATTTTTTTTTATTGATTATTGAATTTTCTTTATGTTTTAATTTTATCAAAAAATTAGGTTCTTAACAAAATCATCTACCAACATTGTTCATACTTTATCTTCAGAGTCATCCTCAACGAGGAGGAAACGGGGACCAACCCGAAATATTGCGCTTGCCAAAAAAAAGCAAGCTGGCGAGAAGCTTAATGTCGAGATGCCTGAAGAGCTTGGGCGAATAGTAGGATTGGAATGCCAACCACTTATAACAGAGTTGGGATGCATTGTTCGGAAGCATGCACCTCTTCAAGTGACAAAATGGGCAAAGATTGACAAAGCCGATCGGGAGAGTTTACTCCAAATGGCCAAGGTAAGTGCTTTTCCAAGTACTTAAACATTTCAACTAGACTATGAAACAAAAGTTAATAAAAGGGGGTTTATGTTTTTTTTTTTTGCATCCAATAAACAAACTTATTTTTTATTTTGTAATTCAATTGTTGTTACCTTTATTTCTCACAGTGCATTCATTGTTAACAATGTAAACAATTCGCTATTTTTTGTAGGAATCATTCAATCTCCATGATGGACAGGTTAAAGATATAACATTTGCCCAAATGAACATGTAATATAGGAATCATCGCCAAAAGCTACACAAGAACTATTTCTTGCCACACCCAACAATAGAAGTAGCAATGCAACATCCACCACCAGGCGTGCCACAAGAAGATTGGAATTATCTTTGTTCTTACTTTTCCTCTAACGAATTTAAGGTTCTTAAACTTACTATAGATACTAAACAAAATCAATTTTCCTTTTATTCATTTAAAAATTTTCTAATGGACGAAAGTTTGACTATTTTAATGTAGAAAATGAGTGCTCAAAATGCAAGGAATCAGGCAATGCAAACACACCCCATGTAACTGGGACAAAGTCTTTTGCCCGGATGGGTGTTGAAATGGTAGCAACATAAATCTTAGTTATAGAGTGTATCGTATGTGTCGTGATATGCTTCAAAAACTAATTCACATATTTGAATTGATGTAGACTGCTCAAACTGGTGAAGTGCTTGGGCCAATTGAGTTATATAGGATAACTCACTATAGTAATAAGAAACGCTCTTGGGTGAATGACCGTGCACATCATAACTATGTAAGTTATCAATTCGGTTAAAATTTTTGTTTATCATCATATTAATTGAACTAATGTAATTTAAAATTTATACGCCTTGCCACTTTAGGAGAGAATGAAGCACCAGCTTGTGAGGAGGAAATTTGCTCAGAGGTTCTTGGACACAAGTCAGGGTACATATGTGGCCGTGGGCATGGTCCGAAGCCTAACCGATCCTTATCTAAGCACCATGATAAATCAAAGTTGGAGGCAGCTAACAAAAGGGCCAATGAGTTGGAAGAAAAACTCAATGCTCAACAAAAAGACATGGAAGTGATTAAGGCTACCCAAAAGGCAACAAATGAGATTTTACAAGCACTGATGGAGCAAATGCAAGCGGCAACCCAAAAATGCAACAAATGAGATTTTGCAAGCATTGATGAAGCAGATGCAGGCTGAGAGGCACATGTCTGCCCATGCCATTGCCCCTGCGCTTGACCCTCTTTCATGGTAGGTGGAATACTTGATTAATGAAAGTTTAGTTTTGATTTTTTTTCCTTTTTTTGAAGGTGTCATAAACTTTATTTTATTGCTTGATAGATGGAAGCAGTATGAGGCTCAACCAGGGCGATTGCAATTTAGGTAAGTGTTCTCATTTTTATTTTTGTAGGATAAATTTGAGGGTGTACAATAATTCCATTTGAAGTATTAGAACTTATGAACAGGTTCTTAATTTTTTATTCTACTTGCAATTATTAAATGGCTTGGGGCTTTATGGAAGAAATTGTNGAGGGTGTACAATAATTCCATTTGAAGTATTAGAACTTATGAACAGGTTCTTAATTTTTTATTCTACTTGCAATTATTAAATGACTTGGGGCTTTATGGAAGAAATTGTGTAGTATTCTCGCTGATATTATGGTGTTTTTATATATTAATTAGAGATTGATATTGTGATTGACTATACACTCGATAACAACATAGACCCATTAAATTAGTTTGCCATGGTTGTTAATATTTGATAATAAGGCAATAATATGACAGTTGAATTTTATAACTTAAATTTTGAGTTAACTATTATTGATTAGATATTCAGCCCATTACCATATTTGCAAGATTAGCTTTTATTTGTTTGATGCAAAACATTTATGTTTGCTAAGCATGATGGTCTTTTTTTCATAGGATTCACACATTTTGGTGATTTATTCTTTTTTCTTTTAATCATATAAGTATTGTTGTGCTTGTGGACAATGGGAAGTAGTTGATGTAATGAGTCTCATGACATATAGTAGAAATTGTGTGTTCTTTAATGATGATCATCTATAGTCTTTGGTGTTAAACCTCTCTTAACAATGCTAAAAGAGCTACAATACATTTTGTAAGAGTGCAAAGTGCAATACATTGTTATCAGAAATTAGAAGGACCATTTGGTTGATTACCACTCAGTCTAAACCTTTGATGATAAGTGTTGGAGTTTTGTGTCTTGTGTTGCATAGAGTGAAAAGAAGTTTGAAAATAAGATTTAGACATTACCAAGCCAATATTTTTATGATGACATTTTTGCCCAAGCTTTTACTATTTTATGTGATTTAAAATTAAAGAGTTGTGACATATATTATGTTCTTTAATTTTTGTCAGGGTGGTTATCTTTGCGACATCTTTATGAGAATAGAAGATCGTGTTCAAAGGACCAGGATTAATCTGAAAGCCCTGCGTACATTTTTGGTTCATCATGAAGTTTGCTTTAGATCTTCTAATGGTTATGGAAGGAATAAAGACTAACAGTTTATTGTTAATTTTTTATTTTGTTGCTTCAGAAAAACTTTTTTTTATTGCTATTTTTTTTTTGAAGTATTCGTTGGATTGTTTAAAATTTTATGATATTTCCATAAGTTTTTTATTTTATAATTAAACTATAATTGAATTTTGATTTGTTTCGAATGATATTGAAATATTAGGATATTTTAATTACAGGTCAATTTTATACAGGGTTTATGACAGCTGTTACGAATTATTATGTGAGTGACAACCACTAAAGTCGTCACTGTAGAGTTTTTTAATGACTGCTACAAAATTTATCACAAAAGTACTTTGAAATTTTATAGTGACAATAAAAAAATATTGTCACTAAACAAGTCTTTAGTGACGATTATAAAGCTAGCCATTAAAAGTAAGTAAAAATTGTTAGTGACAATCAAAACATTGTCACTACCACCGATAATTTAGTGGCAATAAAATTATTTCATAATTAGGGATGAAAGTTTGAAATTGTCACTAAACATATTAGTGACAACAAAATATTCCGTCACTAATGATTGATGGATACTAATTAGTGTTAATATATTTTGACACTAATTTTTTTTTTGGGGGCTGAAAATAGTTTTTAAGTGGCGGAAATATACTTTTTAGTGATGAAAGTTTAAAATATTAGTGACGACAAATTTTGTCGCTATTAAGAGTGATTTAGTGATGATACAGAATCATCACTAAAGATCTAGATTATTTGTGACAACTTATGTAGCTTGTCACTATTAACTTTTAGTGACACATCTATAGTGACACATCTATAGTGACAATCTAGTGGCAATTTTTTTTTCACCGCCAACTACTTTTGTGACAAATTTAAGAGTTTTAGTGACGACTTTTCTTGTCACTAAAGTTGCTATTTTTTGTAGCAAACAACTTCTGATGAAGGGTGTTAGTAAAATTTCAAAACATCACTATAAGAAAAATGTTTTTTAGTGACAAAATAAATCATCGCTAAAAGTGAATAATTCGCCTCTAAAAGTTTTTTGCGACAAAAAAACTTGGTTGCCAGTTTGTCGCGGCAAGCTCGCCACCGAAAGTTTTTGACGACCAATTAAAGTATCGTCGCTAAAGTAGATTATCAGTGACAAAAAACTTAGTCGCTTAAAAATTTATCTACTTGTCACAAAAAAATCTTTGTTGCTGAAAAAAATTATATTATGGCCATATTTTTTCTTTTTGGCGATTACATAATATTTGTCGCCGAAAATCAATATACATTTTTTGCAACTAACATATTTTCGTCGCTGAAAGAAATTATATTATGGTCATATTTTTTCCCTTTGGCAATGACATAATATTTGTCACTGAAAATCAAGGTACAGTTTTTGCAACTAACATAATTTCGTCGTCAAATAACAAATGAATACTCTCACCTTTTAAATAATAGGCAACAAAATTTATTTGTCACCAAAATAAGAGATTTTTAGTGACCAAATTTTACTCATCGCCAAACAAAATCATTTCTAAATAATGACATTTTATGATTACTATTGTCCTCGTAATAAATCAAAATAAATTCACTGTAGCGCTTCAATAATTGAAGATCATTATAAAATTAATAATCCATAAAACAAAACAAAACAAAATTTTCAAATCATTCATTCAAAACACATTTAAAAACATTGATACAAGAACTTATTCCAAAACTTCCGTATATAATTTCATAATAAAATCTCATACCAAAACATCCCATGTAAAAAACTAAACTAAAAAAAAATAAAATAAATGTCACAATATCTAGATGCCACAAGAACTCAAACTACTTGGATCATAGAGGAAGAGATCTCATCACCAAAACCAACTCCAAGGAATCAATTGTTAATCTGTATCAAACACAACAAAAGTGCATTAACAAAACTAAAAAATTATTTGCTTGAATAAATAGTTAATTAAGCATATGTTTATAACTGAAAATACTTACCAAGATGAAGTCGTCTCGCTAGTCTCCCTATTGCCTCCACCATGTTGCATCGCCAACTTTACCTCTGTCATTTGACGCAACATTATCTCTTGTGTCTTTTCCATTTGTTCGAGTTTTGCCTTAGTCTCATCCAACTCTCTTTGTCTACTTTCATTTTCACCCTGAAGAGTTGCAACAACTGCCTTCAAACCTCTTACCTCCTGCTCATGTTCAAGAGTTTTGGAAACATTTATTGAAGAAAATGATTTCGGGCCAACCCCATAACTGGACTTATTGCCAAGGACAGTGCATACAATCTCCTCTTGAGACAACGGGGATGCACCATCTTCTATTGGTTGATCCTTCAACTCCTTCATCCGTTCCTAAATTTTTTAAAAAGTTTTAACCCAATAACAAAACCATTGTATTGTGAAAATGGAAATACAAAGACAATTGATACTCTTACATATCGAGACTGTGCTTCTGGTGAAATCCACTTCATTGACTTCTTGCTGATGTGGGTCTTATAAAAGAAGTCCACGATATGAGGTGGCTCATGTGTCTCGAGGTCCAACTGTTTTCAAAAATTTATGTGAAACTATATACTTTCAACATTTTAAACAAATAAAAGACAAATAATTTTAAGTTAAAAAATTATAACCATATCATGCATCGCAGAAATAAAAGACTTAGAACCCATAGTGTGATTATAGGGCAACTTAGCACGATTTTCAGAATTTGTCTTTGATCGTTTCTACAAAAAACAAAATTGTATGAGAACAACAAATTATGCATTTATATTGCATTAAAAACCATCAACAAATTACCTGAAAGTTTTGATCCTTGTAGACATGTTCTATTATATAAATCCAATCATCTTGACTAACTTCTCGATAAGGCTTACTTTTTGGATCCACCCCAGACTCCACCAAGCTAATGTAATACTTATGCATTCTACAACGGTAATGACTATACAACTTAGCAAACTTTTTGTCAATGAATTCCGCAACATGATCAAATTCACCATATCCCACAACATTGAACTTAGTCTGCACGTAAAAGTAGTATATCATTTCAAGAAAAAATAAATATTTATGTTAACTAGAAACATTAAAAAAAATTAATTACCAAGAGTCTTGCAATGATAGGGGCCTGTTTTTCAATAGGTAACTCGTGCCATTGGGTCACATCCCTGACTGGGACAAAACCCCTAGCCAGGGTTCCAATCTCCGTGATAAAACGCTGTGCATTTTCACCAACAGGAGCACCCACACTTTTGGGGATCTCAACACGTAATTTTCCATGTGATGCTAATAACTTCTCTGTAGCCTTTCCTCGAGTAAGACCTCGCCCTCGTCTCGAGGTCGATCCTGCCAAGCACAAAATAAAATAAAATAATATAAAATAGTTTAGATTCAACTTAAGCAAATAAAATCATACCTTTGTTGCTATCCTCAGTACGTGGACTAGTTGTAATCGATATCAGTGAACCAATCGTCCCACCATATGACACATCTGAACGTGTAGGCACAGATAAGCCGAGTTTACGTTTTCGAGGCATATGTATCCTGTAACATTAAGATATTTAGGTGATTATGCAAATATATAATCATAAATAAAATAAATAATAAATAATAAATAATCATACCATCACCTAGTAAATTTGCCTAAAATATTCTACATATCTGGATCAATATCAGATTTAGAAATGCTA